ACTGCAGATGGAAGCAGATTGTCGGTCTCTCCTAAGGATGTGGATCAATGCCCATCACTTTATTAATATCATTACTATTGTATTTCCATTATTCCTTACTGGTAATCTCTCACTTGATGGATTCAATCATTAACTAAAAACCTTATACACCATTCCCTTATTGCTGTCTAAATCACCCGGGAGGACGAAGAGAGGCTCTCCGTTCAAGGAGCAGGTTCGCAAAACAATGCTGAAGCACTGAACGAATCTGAAATGAAGTCGAGCAATTGTCGAATTTTATATAAAAATGGAATGTCTTTTCTCTGGCACTGGATGACGTCATATGGAGCAAAACGTTATGGTAGACTGCTTTCAACGCTCCATTCGTATTGTCTAATTGTAGGTATGCATCATCGTACGGCAGTGAGTACGATCATCATTTGAAGATCGTCAGCGATTTCACGAGAAAGGTAGGAAAAATTTATTTGAATCCCCTAATTCGAACTAAATTGATCAACACTCACTAAATGTCCTTCAATGCATTCGTAGAGTCCCCGGCACAAAGTCGCGCCATCAGGTAATAGAGTAGTCAAGCTGTTCTAAGCTAGGTACCTGATAGTTATCGTAAATAGTGCCGAGAAAGGGAATTCTCGTAAATTCGTCTATTAGCTCAGGATGAATGGTTTAGTGTGGATCTCGAGTAAAACCCATTACTGACTTACACAAAAGGATTCTATTTTGCTCACACAGGAGCAGCAAAGGATTCTGTGAATTCTAGGTGATTAGTGAAAGAATGGCAGAGCGTGGTGAAGGAAAGGCGATAGGAAGAGAAAAGAAAGCATTTTTGGATTTACTGCTCGACGTGCAAGCAGAAGGCAACCTTTCGTACGAAGACATACGTGAAGAGGTCGATACCTTCATGTTCGAAGGTGAGCCCCTTCAAGAGACGGCTTCATACGATTTCCCCAGGATCTCTCTTTAAGGTCACGACACTACTGCGTCCGGCATGGGATGGACGCTATGGTGTGTAGCTTGCAATTCAGACATTCAAAAGAAAATTCACGATGAAATGGATGAGATCTTTGGTAACTTCTTTCTTCTATACTTCTGATTAGAATCCAGCGATAAGGGCAGGTATATTGGTTTGCAGGTTCGTCAGATCGCAGTTGCACCAGCGATGATTTGAAATCGATGAAATATCTTGAAAAATGTATTAAGGAATCACTTAGACTCCGTCCACCAGTGCCAAACTTTACGAGGAAGCTCGAGAACGATGTTGACATTGGTGAACATCTGTAGTACTTATCGGTCTTACGTCCTTTATTGGTACATTTCGTGTTTCAGATGGATTGACGATACCGAAAGGTTGCTCAATAATGATCACACCTGCTATGATTCACGGAAACCCGAAGGTTAGTTGAGTCCTATATAGAACGAGATATGTAGTAGTGAGAGACTGTCACCCTGAGCAATCCCGCTTCCGCACAAAGGTACATAGGTGATCATTTTTAGAATGGTTATACTGTAATTGGTGGAAGGCAGGAAAATGCTGCAGTCGGACTTGTATGAATACAGCACAGAATTTCTGAATATCTGTGCTTGAGTATCTTCAGTGATCACAGGTATAACCATAGGTGCCGTACTCATGGCACCGGATTGTATTTACTGAAAGATTACAACGCCGTAAAAACTCGTCCACCCCTGAGTTGGATGAGCCGATTTCGGGGTCCTCATTCAAAACAAAATCTGCCCTCTTTTTTTCAAAATCTTGGACTTCGAGTTGATACGGAATATATATAATAATAATCTGCTTGGTTGCCGGAAGAGAGGCAGGAGCTGGAGTTTCACAGGGAGATAACTAACGACAACTTCGGAATCAGAGAAATGATGAAAGGTACATTGAACTTCTTTATAGGTCTACTTTTAAGGTCTACGAAAATCCGCATGTGTATGATCCGGAGAGATTCAACGAAGAGAATATTCAAAAGAGACATCCGTACGCCTATATTCCGTTCAGTGCTGGCCCAAGAAACTGCATTGGTGAGCAATGTTTCAAAATTTCCACTACCATCCGACAATTTGTGGGTATTGTGCCTATGGAACACGTAAATAGGCCGAGTGAGTGCGGGCAGCTCAAACTTATAGTCTTCTCTAAAGGGTTGTCAGGTGCATTGAGTAGGCCGTAGCTCCAAAAGTGTCCGCAGAGGTGGCATACATTTACGGGATTCATTCTCACCACACTAAAAACCATACTTTCAGGTCAGAAGTTCGCGCTCATCGAAGAAAAAACAGTACTGTCATGGTTTTTCCGACGGTACTCCATTAGTTCACGGCTGCCAGTAGAAGCGAATATTCCACTTCCTGAAATCATCTTAAAGCCTTCTCTTGGTTTTCCGGTGACTCTCTCGAGACGATAAATCAATTGAATCTTCCTTGTTGGTCACTAGCTGCTACCATAAGAAGTAATTATGTATATAGATTTGCATTTGAATTTCATTCTCCTTGGACTATAATAATAAATGGTTTCAGAGACTTTACGAATGATTCTGAGCTTCTGTTTGGAATAACACAATTAATTACATTACATCTTTACGGAGGTGATGTAATGGCAGTCGGCGAATTATGGCATCGGTATGGGGATCGGATCTCGGTTCAATAGTCGCCCAGGATAACTAAGCATCCCAGGACGGGAGTGTTCGATGAATGAAGTTCACATGACAAAATCTCTGTATATAAATAGGATTAGATGTCGTGTATGAAGGCATGGAGCATGGCCCTTAGTAGTACTCCTATTCATAGACGGTTAATTTTAAGGAATAGCACGCGTTTTTCTTATTCCTATTGTTTGAGCGCACAGAAGGGGATAGAAGGAAAGAGGCCGACTTGAGGCGTTAGAGCATGAGTACATTAGACTTCGTAGGAGTTATCTAACTGGAAGTTCGACCCTTCCCCTCACAGATGACTTTCGGCGAAAAATAGCCAAATTAGAAGAATACTTGTTTGCAGATTGTCTCGTCAGAGTTTCTAGCTTGTATTGCAGTGTTAGAAAATTGTGCTGGTCGAGATAGTTACCAAACTAGGCATTAAATTGTATTGCTTAAGTTGACTAAAATGTAAACTTGCCTCAACCCTGCATTAATTGTGTACTGCTTTGATTACGTACTGTTTTTTATGTGTGTCGTAGATCGTAGCACATTAGGTGCACAATCGCGTAAATTGATACTCAGGGGAGCGCAGCAAGTTTGCGCGGGAAATTACGGTTCTAAGAGTCCCACTGTCTGGAGGGATCACTTTTTTCCGTCCGTCACTGCCGCCGTGCGTCCATCTGGAGACGCCTCCATTGCTGCTAGCCCGGAGCCATCCGTGAAGAGTTCCTATTCCCTGCCGCTGTTGTCGCCAGGAAGCCGCTGCAAACACTCCCCTGAGTGTCCCAGGCGGTTGTAAGTTGTATTAATGTGTGAGCGTCTTTGATAAGGAATTTCATCTGTTTTATCGCATTACTTTGTTTCTTTTGTGTGTAAACAATAAATGAATTGATTTTGTGAGACAATTTTCTGGTGGCACCACGTCCGAATGGTTATAGCCGTTTTCATACCCACTCTTGTCCAACTAGATATTAGATATAAGGATACCGACAACGAGCTAGAGTTGTACCGGACACATTCTACATACATTCTTCATATTCATAATGAATTAAAACTCATTTTATATCTTTTCGAACCCACCGATCTTCTCACTTTCTTGGCCATTTTCGTATTATTCTGCACTATAGTTTCCCTTCCTACGGATTATCGCGAACAAAACCTTTGAAGAGGTGGACTGTGGCTGCAGAATCCCACTACTTCACATTTACATAATTCTCAAATGACCACTTCTGCTAAAATGATGTTGTATTGCGATTTATTCTTTTCGCTTCGTCAGTTTGACATGAAGTTCGATTAAAATAAATTGGAAATGATTTCGAATCGCGAAAATACTCAGTCGCAAAGTGACCATAATCCTCAGCTAACTGTTAGGTGGAAAAATATCTAAGAATCCAAAAATGAAAGATCCACTCCTTTTACAACTATCTAATTATATTCAATTACTACAACAGAACCAAAGTAGTTCATGGAGTGCTCGTGAGTGGAGGATTCACCGAAACGGATGTACCGTCTACGGAACCTGTTCACAAGTGCTGTCCCAGAAATTCTGAGCTATTTTTACAAGTGCACCACTTTTTGTGATTGCAAGCAAGAAACTACCCTTGGAGGAGCAACATTAGGGGAAAGGATGTTTGTTTCGTGTTTCACGAGTACAGAGCGTATTTCATACGTGAACGTGCACCAGAATCGAACTTTATCGAGGCGTTGACCGACTTGCGCAAAGCAGATAAGCAGTGTCTGGGTGTTCTCAGGTGAAATCGCTCGCCATTGAGATTTTCGTTACCTAATTCTTTGCCTCTATCCAACATTTTATTCCAACATTCCTCTTTAAACCTCTGACGACTCTCAGTATCTTCCCGATGTTCTTTATTCTATTTGAAGGTTGTCTATATCTCTCCGATGTTCTTTTCAAAGTCGAGATTGGGAGCAATGGAGTTCAAGGGAAAGCGCGTAGTCGCATCCGTGGATGAGAGGGGTTGCGACGTCTTCAATGCAACCTAATTCTGATGAAACGCTCTTTCCTAAGAAAATCGGTGGCGGGCTACTTGACATACTCATCGAATTGCGGGTCAACGAAGTCCGCTCAGCCGTTCGGTCATCGGTGATCGGCTATACATCACTTTCTTTTCAACTACTTGCCGACCTCTTGTTCTACATTTTCGCTTCGAGTGTATTTTAAACTGTAGGACACCTGAGATTCTACCACCTCCACAAATTGTCGGATCCCTCACCGAAGGGAAGACTTTCGCTTCTATGAATCTCAGAGTTTGCCGTCAAAGGACTATTTAGTAAGTCAACACAAAGCCTTTCAAAGACCATCTCATATTTACTTAACTATTGCACTTTTGTTAGAGACCTAAAACCAAGGGGAAATGGACCAACCATTTTAAAGACGTTTTTCATACAAGGCACCACATTCACCCTCATCCATTCTCATGTCCCTGATGATCTGGTCAGTGGTGGCTCGGACTCAAGAAACTCTCACTACTCTCACTCCAGCCATGAGAGGTGGATTTTACACTCAAGATCTCAATCTTGCCCACACCATCTACGCACCAGCCAATTTCGAAGGATTGGCCATCACTGACCATCCCCCATAGTCTACCGGCCCTACTGTAAGCGCATAACGGCCTACGGCTTGCTCTTCCTTGCTTGTTTACCTTAATAATGGCCAAACTGTCCCTCCATATTAGGTACTCCTTTACAAGTATGAGTTCGAACCCGGTCACTCCGCTGCTAAAGCCCATAGGAAGTTGGGTCAAGTAAGTAGGTAAGTAAGTAGTACGTGTAAGTAATACAAAGGAGCTATGGGAGCTCTCCTTGATTTACGGAATTTGAAAGCCTTTCATAGGAGCATTTCATAGCTGCTTCGATGATTAGCTTGTGCTTTCCTTTCTGACTGCCTACCTGTAGGAAAACTTCCCAGGTTTTTTTTGAAAGAAAGCTGTGGATTAAGTATTTGAGTTTGAAGCCCCTTCTAAGTGGTTCTGTGCACGCTTCCGTCACACTCTCCAAAGCCGGAAAGAACAAGGTCAACGATGAACCTCGATCCGATCAACCGACTGCGATGTCATGAACCCTTGGATGTCAAACAAGCAATGTCCTTTCGATATGAAAACTTTCGGAACATCCCAGAAAAATCTCTAGCTTCTGTGAAATTTTGGGTATATATTTTCCGAACACCCCAATATCAAACTCACCCAGTACCTGGTGGGAGCTCTCTACCCTGAACAAGGATTCCATAAAATGGCCGAAGANCCCTTGGATGTCAAACAAGCAATGTCCTTTCGATATGAAAACTTTCGGAACATCCCAGAAAAATCTCTAGCTTCTGTGAAATTTTGGGTATATATTTTCCGAACACCCCAATATCAAACTCACCCAGTACCTGGTGGGAGCTCTCTACCCTGAACAAGGATTCCATAAAATGGCCGAAGACATGATTGCAGTCTGCGTTAAATCACTCCGACGCTCATCCGATTAAGTTCAATTAGGCCTACGACGGAATAGCGATTTGTATTGCGATCTGTTACCAACGGCCAACAAGCCCGTTTCAGTTTCTTCACGTTGGAGTGCAGTTGTTGTTGACCCAAATCCGGAATTAGGATTTGTCTTGCGTAATAGGGCAACCACCATTGTGGACTTTGGAATTATTTGAAAGTACCAGCTGCTGCCTGCTGCTGTCTATGACGGCGTATTCGAGAAGGTCACTCTCTCCCCCATAAAGGATCCTGCGATTTCTCTTCAATCATTTTGAAACTTTCTTCTTTTTTGTTCGAGATAATCACTCTTCCATTGTCCCATTACACTTTCGTCGTTCGACATTTCTTTTCGGAATATCTCTCATTCCTGTTCCGTCTAATTTATGCTCGGTGGCTCTTCCTTTGAATAGAGGAGCGTCGACATTCGCTTGAGATCAGAGTTCTGCAAGGAAGTTTCGATTTATAGACGTTGAATTGAAGGAGGCCGTACTAGCGATAAAAACGCACTTCCTATGTCTCAAGAATGGCTCCAATGCCTTCAATAACGGACAGTCTCACAGCTTCTCACTGCTCTCGTTGTTGTCACCGATGAAGTTCATGCACATCCCCTTTAAAATTGATCTCTAGCTGTCATCCTTCTGGGAGCTGCTTCGCTTCCACCAGGATTTCCCCTTTTGAATTTGGGGAAAACAACTGGTAAAGCTATCGACATCGTCGCATTAGATAACAAACGTAGAACTGATCAGATTCGAACTTATCCAATATCTTTCTGAATTATTTGTGTAGTCACATCATCGGCTCAGCATCAGCAAAGAGCGCTACGAACGTCGACGTCGATTCAGCAAAAGATAATGAGAGTACATGAGTTCCATTCTGCTTCTTCACTTGTTTCAAAGGTCGCCATTTTTTTCAAGTCCATTGGTTATAGCTGGAAAACTCTAGACTACAATATTTCGTATAGTGAAAACTCACTTGTATGCTCTTTGAGAAAACAATGGAGCATCTGTCGTCCGAACTTAAAAGCACCCTATTGTCTCACTCAAAGACTTGTTCACTCTGTTTTTCTAAATATGCTAAGCTCATGATTTTTTTAACCTCGCTCGGCTTCAAGTCCTCTTACACTCTGGAGAGTTGTGCGCCTTTTCCTCTTCCTTGATTTTGGTTCATTCTTCAAAGTGCTATTCTTTTTATGTGACTTCAATAACGAAAAGTAATAAACTGTACTGGGCAGAGGTGATGTAGTGGTAAGCGGTGCCCTATCACAAGCGCATCGTCCGAGGGTCAAATCCT